TAGGGAACCTGCTTTGGCAGGGGAGTTGGACGAGATGGTCTCCTGAGGTCCCTTCCAAACCCCACCATTCTGTGATTCTGTGATTGTAATTTGTTTCACAAAATCATTAGCATAGAAATATCTTTACTGTTGGTTTTGCTTAGATACAGGTTAGAATGTGCTAATTTATATTCTCCTTAAAGAACTGTGTAATTTTTTGTCTTTTTTTTCTCTATTTTATCAAAAGGAGAAAAAAATAACTCCTCTCTATCCCCTTTACCCCCTTCAGGTTTAGGTCTGTGTATTAATACAGTGCCATGTGGTTTGGATTAATAACAGAGCAGGAGAGTGCTTGTCCTAGAAGTATCCATTAAATTTGTTTCTGTTCATAATTAAATCTTTTTTAAAAGCACAGCTCTTGAAACAAAACAGTACTGATAAAATACACTTAAGCTGTCATGTTAAAATATCCAATACCAGACTTATGGATTTGAAGAACAGGAACTTTGATCCTCTTCTTTTGTGTGCTTAAAAGAAAAAGGAGGATGGGGGGGGGGGGGGGTGAGGGGGGGGGGGGGGGGGGGTGGTTGTATATTTAAAAACCTATTGAAATGTTAATAACAGAATAGTAGTCTGCAAATCAAAGACATGATCCCAATGGATGTACTGTCTGCTACTGAACATATGATAGCAAGTTGACAGATCCCTGAAGATGATACAGTTCAAAAACCTTTCCATTGTCTGTTTGATAAACTCTGTATTCTTATTTTGAAGCATAGTAGCTATTAAATTAACTTACTAATAATATTACTAGTAATATTACTAATTTTAAACTCTTGGAAAGACCAGAAATTATTTTATAACATTACTTATATTTCAATTTCTTGCAGGCAAAAGAAGCCAAACGGTTAAAAGAATTCTTAGAAGATTATGATGATGACAGAGATGATCCAAAATACTACAGGTATGTCTTTGTATTGATTCCTAATGTTAAAGTCGTCATTGTTCATTTTTACACAATTTTGGAGTTTGTTGTCAGAGGCTTATGGAGTTTATATTTGACTGATTATGTGGCGATGTAAGGGTCATATAATTAGCTAAATTATTTTAGTGTCACTTGATAAGTGCCAGAGGGAAAAGTGGAAACTCCTTACTGCTGCTTGTTAATGCTTGGGAGTAGCTGCTCCTTCCTGTTGTTTAACTTGTGGGTGAGGCAGACCAAAGGTCACTGTAATGCCAAAATAAGGTGGTGAGGGCAGGGAGAAGGGGTCAAACATGCCTCTAAAAAATTCACCTCAAGGAAACTGGTGTGAAGAACAAGCTTTTGTTAACTCTCTAAAGGATGAGGAAGATCCTTCAGTGTGGGACTAATGAAAATTTGCATCAAACTAATTTAGCAGAACTTGTTAATAAAAACCTATGAAATAATTTGGTTCTTTTTCCAAGAAGATCAGCAGTCATGTTCTCTGCACCCATTTAACGCGATGGGGTAAATTCTGTATAGTAATGTTGGGAACTGGTATCTTGGATTCTTCTGTTGCAAAAATAGAGGACACCAGATGCTCTTATGAATCTTATTTTCATTACGTGGAAGATACATCTGTATCAGGTATTTCTTGTGTTGTAGTACAAGGTTCTCAATGGAATGTTCTTTGAAGTAAAAAAATCTGTATCTTTTGTAGGGGTAGTGCACTTCAGAAGAGGCTACGAGACAGGGAGAAAGAGATGGAAGCAGATGAACGAGATAGGAAAAGGGAAAAGGAAGAATTAGAAGAAATTAGGCAGCGCCTTCTGGCAGAAGGACACCCAGATCCAGATGCAGAACTCCAGAGGGTAAGTAGCTGTTGGTCTGACAGGAAAAAAAGAGCCCTTGGTATTCTGGTGGTATTGAGCAAAATTGTCTGAGAGAACTGATAGTTATTATTTGCTCTGTTCACTTTTTCTTGAGAAGTCCAGATAAGCAGTAAGAACACTAGAAACAAAAAATAACTTTCCAGATCTGTTTTTGGATGGGATTTGAAAACAATTTTGGATTAATCAGTATTTCTAATTATAATGACAGTAGTTGTATGTCTTTTTTCTTGACTAACAGAGACTTCTTTAGAAAACAGAGGACCTTTAGATTCTTTTCAAACAATGCTTTTTTTGAGAAAGCTTCTTTTTTGTTAATTGTCTGTTTCATTGTAGATGGAGCAGGAGGCTGAGCGGCGTAGACAGCCACAAATAAAACAAGAGCCAGAGTCAGAGGAGGAAGAGGAAGAAAAGGCAGAAAAAGAGGAAAAAAGAGAAGAGCCGGAGGAAGAGGAGGAGGAGCCTGAACAAAAGCCCTGCCTTAAACCAACTTTACGACCCATCAGTTCTGCCCCATCTGTTTCTTCTGCTAGTGGAAATGCAACGCCTAACACACCTGGTGATGAATCTCCCTGTGGCATTATTATCCCTCATGAAAATTCACCTGATCAACAACAGCCGGAGGAGCATCGGCCCAAAATAGGACTTAGCCTCAAACTGGGCAAGTTACCTTTTATTTTTATATTCCATATGGGATCAGAATGAAAACAGTGCCAAGCTGAGTAGCCACACAATTTTCCAAATATATTGTGTGTTTTGACATGCTTATGTTAAGTTGTTACCCAGATGCTGTGCTTGATTTCTTCTATCCAGAAGACACCTTTTATAGATCTCTGTTCTTCCAAAATCTGGAGGGGGAAAAAGGGAGAGAAGTTTTGGCATCCTCAACGCTTAATGTTTTTAGGAATTATCTGAACTGGGATTAGTTATTTCCACATGCGTTTTTCACCTTAATAGTTCTCTAAATATCTCTTTTAAAACTCTCTGCTACTTTTCATTGATGTAACTATATGTTAGATTTAAGCCCTAGATACTTTTAATATTTATTCACAACGACTCCTTTAAAATAATAAAACTGAAAATTAGCTTTTTTTTTTCGTCCTCTTAGAATAGCACAATTAATTGATGACAATTGTAAATTGAACATGAGTGTAGAGTTCCTTAGTACTTTAGCGGTTCCCTGGTGTTTTCGAAAAAAAATAGTTTTGACTAGCAAAACTAAGGATAGTTGTATTCCAGAAGGTTTGTGCATTTATTATTAGTTATTTTGTTTAAATTATACTGGGGCTGCAGTTTGAGCTCACACTGTGTTAGGTCCTGAATGAAGACAGTGTAGTATTAGGCTAATTGATTAATGTTTTTCCTACAGCTAGATTCGTCTCAGCCTTTCACTTCTGTGCTCTGCCTCTCCTTAGGTTTGAACTCATGCTTTAGTCCTCCATTAATGTGAATGCTAATTGGTCTCAGGGCAGAGAAAGAAGACCCTGTTTTTCAAAAATCTTGAACAAACTTCATTTGAGATCTTTACCTCTTGCCATTGTTAAAACAGAGTTTGGGAGATTAAAGCACTGATGCTAGATATTCACAGACATTTATATAACATACAAACTGATGTTCTCAATAACTGTGTGAGGAGCAAACTACCTTCTGTTGCAGTTTATTAATATGTTGTTCTGTTTTTTGGGTTGTAGGTGCCTGCAATAGTCCTAATCAGCCAAATGCTGTAAAAAGGAAGAAGCTTGCTGTGGATAGTGTTTTCAATAAATTTGATGATGAAGATAGTGATGATGTGCCCCGGAAAAGGAAACTTGTTCCCCTGGATTATGGTGATGAAGATAAAAGCAATATCAAAGGCAGTGTCAATACAGAAGAAAAACGCAAACATATTAAGAGTCTTATTGAGAAGATTCCCACAGCAAAACCAGAGCTTTTTGCTTATCCTCTTGACTGGTCAATTGTGGATTCAGTACGTTGATTTCTTTTAGCCATTCACAAAAAAGCTTAATTTCTCCAAACAAACCTTGGAATTTAATAGAAAAACGATGTTCCAGGGACCCCAGTGGACTGGAGCATCATCATTGAATAGAATAAAACTTTTAAGTACTGTATTTCTTGTTCATATATAATACTTACTCTGAAGTATGCCTGCTTATTTTTGTTTGGCCTCTCCTGGATTGTTGCTACAGATTGTCTAGCAGTTTTATGGAAGGGGGAAAAAAAGATCCTGTAAAAACATGTTTTGCTGTCAGAAATACTTGCAGATGCCAAATCGCTAAGAGTTATTTCATTGATAGCAGAATGTATCTTCTGCTAAATAGTTGTTTGGGTCTTCTAGCTGCCTATCTGGCAGTATTCTTTCAAAACAGTAAATTTATGCTAATTACGGGTGGGGTTTTTCTTTCTTTTTCCAGACACTAATGGAACGTCGAATTAGACCATGGATCAACAAGAAAATAATAGAATATATTGGTGAAGAAGAAGCCACGCTAGTTGACTTTGTTTGTTCTAAGGTTAGTATCTTCCACTTTTGTGAAGTCTGGGTTTTGCTCCATATTTAAGCTGCAGTACCTGTATTTGAAGGCAGTCTGTGTTTAGCTTCTCTGTAATCTATCATACTCAGCAGCAGACAGTGTAATTGGAATCAATATATACCCTAATGTTTTACAAGTTACCTTGTCCTTATGCACAATATGTACATGTTAGATGCTCTGTTACGTGTTAGATGAACATGGAGCTAGATAAAAAAATGAGCAGTTGGCAAAAGCAGCTGTTTTAACTGATAGTTTTATCATTAGATTTCAGAGTTAATATCTCATTGGCAATTAACATTTTTAACTTAAAAATACAATTGATGGGAATACAGGGGAAGAAAGCCCGTAGCTTGATTTTAAATACGTTTTTGGATTAACTAGATTTGCTTCTTAAAAAGCTTTTTAGATGCTGTTGTTGCTTTAGTAGCAAACAAATACTGACGTTTTAGAGTTAGCATTAGAAGTCATTCTGCTATACCTTTTAGACGTTGCATGACTTGTTCAATTCTGCGTAGCTTCTTCCTAAATTCTAAAACTTGCCTTTTAAAATCTGTCACAACAACTCTGTGGCTTTTCATTAGTAGGGGATTTAACAAAACTCTTTTCAACTTTCACGGTACTCACATTCATAATGGCTTGTCTTGGTTTATCTTCTAGGGCTACTGTGTGAGAGGCAAAGCAAGTGACAGTTTTATGGCAAGGTGGTTAGTAGAAAGTGAAAAGCAGAAATTGAGTATTTGCCCAGCTTAAATTAGATATATATATATAAATATATA